TTTTCGTTCACTAAACGTATATTCAGTGCACTATTCAGTGAATTATCGTTCAAATTGTAAAACTAAAGCATTTCGTGAACTAACCATCGAATCAAAGGTAAGATATATTGAAATAACAATTAAATAATGAATGGATTGAATGGTCTAAACGGTCCCTATGTTTGCCTTCTCATTGGGAGGACTCATAAGGTTTTGTTGATTCAATCCAACTGTGCTCTCATTGGTTCCCTTTAAACGTGATTTCCATATGAAAAGGGCTATACTTTGCGACCAATGTCTCTATGAATGCGCATTGAATGCAATGTACGCCACATTCGGTGCCTTTCCATATGGTATTGATTGAAAACATAAACATTATGTAAGGGTTGCCCACACTTTGCATTTGGTTTGTGGACAAAACAGACACTGAATGCCAATCAATGCCTTAATTGCTATCAATTGTTGATTTGATTTCAGTTTTAATTCATTCCACAATTAGTTTGACTCGTATTTCACACAAGAGATTGTGTTTTGGTTTTGAACGCAATTTAAACGTAATTCAAACGACTATTAAATGCGAAGACATTAAGTGTTGAGAGAATTGTGCGAAAAATGCATTCAATTAATCCATTAATACATTAATCGGTGATTAAATGCGCGGCAATTGACGTGACGTTTGGACTATCATTGACTCCGACTATAACGAGGTATTTATTGGTTGAATGAGTGAAATAGTGTACACATTATCGACGATATAGTGTGTCCTGAAGTGTGTGTCCCTAATAGCGAAGTGAAGGTGTAGTGACTGTTATGTATTGCACTATAGATAAAGTCATGTGATATTTATGGGGAAAAAGCAAAACATTGCACTTTATTGACGAAAATATCATTGATTACAACGATATGTAATGTAATGTAAATGTAAGCCAACTCTCAATGCAATCATTATATTGTTATTATTGTTAGAAAACACTTTCAGACAAAGATTATTGTCATTTCTGTTCATTGTTTTACACATTAATCGTTTGATTTGTCGCATAGTTTGCGTCTATAATCGGAAAACGGACTCAAAATCAAGTGATTTCGTGTACAAAACAGTGCAAAATACCAATGGTTTGACTCGTTTTGTGTATTTCAATACAATCGACACAAAAATAATCCGCTAATTACTGACTGGTATTGAGTTTTTTTGGTGTGTGTTTTGGACTACAATTTAGTGAATGAAATATAAACAATATTTTTGAGTGATTTTAGTTTTGAAACACAAATGAAGTGCTAATACAAGTGTATTGAAGGAAATATTTGCGTTAAATTCAAGGACTGATACGACAAACACAACAGCACTTGTGGTTTCATATAATATATTCACACAATTGTGTATTTCATTCCTGTTTTTGACTTTAATTTTATTGCTTAACAAATTTTCATCAATTTTTCGCTGATTTACAAAAATTTAACGCAAATTTACATCAAATTTAATCGTAAGTAATATTTAATTTATTTGTAATGTGTTGTGAATGCTATGAAATGGTGTCTGACATGAGATTTATAGGCAATTTAAACGGGATTCTCATTAATGAAATCTAATGAGTAATGAATGCAATAATAAATTATTGAATGAATTGATTGTAAATGTAAGTCAAATATAATTGAGATTTGAATGAATTGATGCATAACTTGAGACCATTTTTTGTGTGCAAATATTGCTGTAATACATATCGCATGTATAGTGTATGAGTTATAGTGTATTTTTGTTGTTCACTTAAATGTATTGTTTAAATGATATTTAGGTTAAAGACTTGAAAACGAAGTTAAACTCAACGTTTGAATCATATCTTTATGTATAGTGAGAGTGAATTGAAAGGCAGAGAAATAAGTGGTTAAATAAATGGCCAAAGAGTTAATACTGTGTTAATAGTGCTGTAGGTTTTGGCCCACAAACACTTGCTCTCAATTCGGGCACAAATTCAGTACACTATACACAACATTACTGTATAGTGTATACAGTAATATGTAATATGTGTTACACTGGGAAACGGGTCTAAATGTAAATCTCGTTTTACTTTTTTGTTTCATTCACTCTTCCCTTCATTTGATTTGATTTTTTTGTTCCCAATTCTTCCGTATATGAAAAAACGAGTCAACCATTCATTCATGTATTGAATCATAAAAATTAGTTTTCATTTCTCTCTCTGTGACACTCTTTTCACGTCAAACATATATATAATGTTTATTTTTTGTGATTTGTCGTGAAATTAGTCTCTTTTTATGTTTGATTTTCTATGAACTCATATTTGTTGTCATGATTTTTGCTGTTGTTTTTTGAGTTAAAATTATAATAAAAAAGTTATGATTAGTTCGCGACTATAACCATGTATTTGTAGTGCCTTTCAGTCGCTGTTCATATTCTTATCACAATCTTTGCGTCAAATCATATGACTTTCGAAAGAGTTTCGTAAAAACTTTTTTCCTTGTGTTCAATGATTTCCAGTGTTTACTTGAATGCAATTTGGTTTACATCTATATTATGACTACATTTACTCACGAGTTGTTCATACTGTGAGTGCATGAGTGCAGAGGACAGACAACAACAACCATTTCTTGTGACCTGTTGTCGTAATTGTCTATATATTTACGAACACAACAATTAGCCCAAGTGTTTGATTACTCTTTTCCTCTCATTCTCGCCGTCACTTGTTTTTGAAGCTGTGCTTAATTTACGGTAAGAAATGATTGCGCTTTGAATTAATTACATAGACGTCTAAAACCGATTGGCAGACATTTAAAGAGCAAAAATGTTTATAAACATTACTATCGATACTTTATTTTGACAATTGATTACTATATACACTATGGGAATATTGTGCGAGCCTTTTGGTGGTGTTGGGTATAGCTATGACATGCATAGCAACAAACATATACATAGAGTTACGTCAAAAATTGGGTCAATGCCTCTCCATTGCAATGCAGTTTTCCATTACATTCTCTGCCATATATTCCTCATGAGTGGAAGACATGCCACCAATTAATTGACTCACTTTTCTATCGCATACAATATTGTACCCAATTTTTCTTCTTTTCAATTCAGTTGTATAACTTTCAGATGTATAGTTCATGTAATTATATAGCGATTCTCTACATGTTTTTCATTATTCTTTGAGTTTATTGGGTTTCTTATGCATATTTATAAATGATTTTTGTCCAGACGTCTGTCTGACTGTCTGTCACTACAATACCTGTACTCATAGTTTGTTACTATTTATTAGATTAAAAATATTATTGTAAATATTCTCGACATTTAGGTTAGAATTTATAGAAATTTTATTTTTAATAATCAGTAAAGTTTTGAAAATTTCCATAAACACTTAAAGGCTTTAATTTGCTTTGCATTTAGTTTGCAATATAAAAAACTATCATTAGATAAGATTAAATCAATCGGTATTTAAAATTATTGTAATAAAAATGAATGAATGAATAAAATATCTAATGGTTTAAAAACCGTTTCGTTTCTCCATTTGAAACAGGATTTGAGAGAAAATACAACACAAAAACGGATTTAAGAATATCTGTGTATCATATGATCTGAATTGTCAACAATATAGTGATTCAACGAAGATATCAGTGCTATAATTGTAGTGAACACAAGACATAGAGTCAAGTGTGGGTGTCGTGTCGTTTAGGACTGTCTTTCTATATCTTTGCCAATACAGAAGCGGAGCTCTTATTAACCATTGAAGTTGTTTCCACTAAGACATCATCTGCTGGATCAGCGCTGAGGCATCTGTTTAATAGTTGTCCTGCTGTAGGAATGGTAGAACTCGACTCTACCGATACAACCACTGCATTGTTATCCTCACCAATAGGTATTCAATTGTGCCCTCAGTTCGTACTTTTGGGATAATTTATATTTTCAATTTGAGTTTACATTTATCTCTAATCATATAAAACTTCGTACTCCTGTTCATTGGATTACATGAAATGTTGTTATCGTTTTGTGTTCCCTCAGCTCTGACTGTCATTTGATGCCAAATAGGTTTCTCTCAATGAGTATCACATTTTCTGTGAGCCTGTGTCTTGATATCTGCTCTTTGTTTCAAATATGTAATACTTCTGTGAATTGAATGCTAATTATTTGTTGAATTTCATATTGATTGACATTATTTGGTCAATAAGTTGAACGTTTCATACGGACAGTACATCTCCACTTGAATTGTGTGTATTCAGTGAAAATATATGACAAATTCGTGAACTAGTTTTTGCAAATGTTTTAAATACAAAATACCGTTAATTCTATTTAATTGAAAGCAAAACATATGTTTGATTTGCTATTTGTTTCATAGAGTTATAAACAGATTTATATTTTTAGTATGAATGTCTCATATAATTTATGCAATATTTTGTTTGCAAACAAAATATAATAATTTTTAATTTGCTAACAATATGTTAAATCCTTGCATACAATATCGCATAGACATGTTTGAAGTATAGAGTAATTTAAACACTTATCGATTGTTTGCAATAGCATTGAAATCTGATTTGCTTTTTCTGGATAATTATAATAAATTCATTTCAATAAAACATATGATGTGAACACATATGAAATGATTATCAAAACATATTCTGTTGTAAGGCTTTTGATCTAATGCTTGAGCTTTTGTTATCATTTCTTTACTATAATATCTGTTTATCTCGTGATTCAGTGATTAGGCAATTATTCTTCTCCTTTGACGTCACATTTTATTTTAATTTTTTTGCAAAAATTTTATTATTTTCCATTAGAAAGAGTGATAAAATTTGTTTCAATCCTTTAATTAATAATTGTTTTATTTTTAATGAATACAAATATAATGCATATTAAAACAAAAGTGTAAATAAAGAATTTAAAAAACTTTGTTATTAAATAGTGAAACCTATGGTAGAGTTTGAAACAAGTTTTACGTTAATTGAATGATTAGAAGGAGTCGAAAGTGGCTAACCTTCGCCACAATCGGTGCGAATTCAGGTGTAAACCGCTGTCAGTCAGTAAGGATTGGTTGGGAATCAGTTATAACGTGATTGTTAGCTATGTTTGTCATTGACATACAACTAAATTTAGTTGAAATTCATTGAACAAAAACAGCTCTCTCTCTCTCTCTCTCATTATATCTGAACGGATAGTTAGTTCTTGTAGTGGTATTGTAGTTGAGTGTTGACATTNTCTCTCTCTCTCTCTCTCTCTCTCTCTCTCTCTCATTATATCTGAACGGATAGTTAGTTCTTGTAGTGGTATTGTAGTTGAGTGTTGACATTGAAGGTCAAAATTATGCTATAAAATATGTTTGAATGCAAACATCACTTGACAACTAGTCTACCATTGAATTGCATCACCATTTGGTTCGTTGATTATCATCACTTTAGTTGTTCACTATTTATAACTAATATATATAATACATCATTCTATGACCATTTCGTTCATTCATTCATTGATTACATATGAAATTGAAAATAACTAACTTCGAGAATCACTTGCTTTTTAAACAGAGACACAAGTAGTGGTAATTCCGACAAACTGTGGAACAGATGACGTTCCACAACAAGAAGTGGAAGCAATCTGTAACCCATTCTTATCGAAACACTTATCACAACAGCAAAGAGTAATGGCTTTGCATCAGAATAACGATAATATTCCCAAACATATTGACACCAATTCTCAACAGAATTCACGAAACAACATAACTAACGATCGCTTTTGGTTCGACCAAAACACCGATAATACCAGAAATCAAAGTAAACAAACAGTGAATATATCTGCCCTCAAACACGATCACCCATTGATCGCATCCGCAGTCGACAACATCGGCCCGAAGAGCAGTAACGCTCTCTGCGGTAATGAAAGTATTTTAGTGGCTTCTCTGCCGCCAACAGAACCACAAATACTCTCACAGACCGGTCAATGGTTTGATGAAAACGATTACATTTGCGACCGAAAAGCAATTTGTTTGCCGTTTGGATACTGTATTGACGACGAGAAGGCCTCTCAATATCACTCACATATATCTCTCAATATGAGTGATAACGACGCGGACTGGATGTGCGACAACACCAACATGTCGTACAATGGAGTGACCGGTTATCCCTATTGTATAGACAACTCGTTTAATATGGAGAACGTGTTTCAAGTGGACAAAGCGGACATTAAGACCGGCCCGACATTGGCTCAGCTCAACGCCAGTGATGTTTGGGACGCTTTAGATTTGGATGATTTGCTCGCAAGCGCTCAAATGGACGTCAAACACATGTCCAATAGATCCCGATTTGCATCCAATAGTGGCTATCGATTGAATAACAATTCTGCCATTACTTCAATGGATTACGAATACGACTCTAAACTTCAGGAAAACATCGATTATTTAACTTCTTTACTGAACAGTTCTAAAAGTGGTGCAACTCTTCCACAACAACCCGTGTCCTCAGATGTCAAACCTCTTCCGACTTCTAGTCTCAACACTATTGTTATAACAACGCAAACAGTGCCGCAAGAAATGGTCCATAACTCACAACTTGTAACCCAAAAGAGTGTACAGAAAGAAACGGCCGCTAAGAACAGCGGAACTCTCAACCAAATGCCCACCACAACAGTGTTGAGCACTTTATTGGGCGCCCAACCCATCAAACAAAAGTTGTTATCTAATGATAAGTCACAGCCAATGCCTCAGACCTCCTCCTCATCCGCACTGATCTCTCAAAGCAAAACGGTTTCCAATTCTAGCGAAGAAAATAAAGTGTTGTCTCGCGTCAGAAATAATTCGATGAGTACTGAATACAGCGTCTCATCCCATGACGAGGGGTTCGCCTCTCAGCCCGAAGACACCGATAATGAAGACGACGACATGGACTCAGACGACGAGTCCTTTTATGGCGATTACGACGCGTCCGATCTGTTGGGCGCTTCCACTTCAGACGACGCCAACAACAAGTGGTCGTTAAATATGGGCCGATCGCGCAAAGGAGGAGAGCGACGATACTTCTGGCAATACAACGTCCAAAGCAAAGGCCCGAAAGGCACTCGTATTGCGGCCGTTGAAGAGAACAGTGATCCCCATGTCTTCAAAGAGATCAGTGATCCCGTCTTCAGTCCCGACTGTCAGATAGAAGGCGTCAAACACTCGGGAAAGGCTCGACGCGGAGACGGCAATGATTTGACACCCAATCCCAAAAAGCTGTTAATGATTGGCTTAGAGTTGAAGAAATTGAGTAAAATTATCAATGAGTTGACACCTGTGGCCGAAGTGCCCGTCAGTTCTCGAGGTAAGTCTCGGAAAGAGAAGAATAAGTTGGCGTCGAGAGCGTGTCGGCTCAAGAAGAAGGCACAACACGAGGCTAACAAAATCAAACTCTACGGCCTTCAGATGGAGCACAAGAAGATTATGGTTCTCTTGTCTGAAGTGAAGAAATACGTTCGTCTCTACGGCCAAAACACGAACCCAAACGAAGTGTTTACCACTCAAGCGGTGGAGAGGCTTATCAAACAGAAGGGACCGTTGGTTCCCGTGGCCGGAAAGACCAGCGATTTTGTCAATCATATTCTGGATAACGTGGCCGCCGGTGTCTCCAACGGCGGTTTGGATAAAATATAATTAAGTTATCATTTTTGAGATTCTTGAACACAATTATTGCAATTTTAGTTTATCATAATTTCGATGAATTTCTTTTTTCCGTTAATCTATTTTAAACAATGTATTCATTAATTATTATTACTTTGAAAAGAAACGAGAGATCCATTCATTCAATTGCTATACAGATTTGAAACTGATTTATAATTACTGTTACCACTAATGAGACATTTCTGAAACCATAGATATTTGTTAAGACATAAAACAGTGTGAAATTGAGGCAAATGTGCAAATTGTCCGCAACTGACTGTGATATGATAGCTATGAGTGCGAGATTGTGATGATGTTTACCGTTATTTTATGACACATTCGACTCAAACACTAAAAACAACTTCTATTGAAAAGACATTTAACTTTTTTCTAAAGATATTTCAATCCTTTCACATATGAGTACAAATACATTCATATAAACCACTGTTTTAATGAGTTTTAAGTTTCCGGACAAATGACCACTTTTTCTGCTCGCATCCAAAGTTTAATACAATAGATATTTTTGATTTGTTTAATAATTTAGTATAAGTTTTGACAAATTAGTGCTATGTTTGCGGATATAATTTATTTGCAGTTTTAGGGTTTCTCATAAATCTTTACTTTACCGTTAATTATACATAAAATAATGCATTCATTTATTCATATGAGAGAAAATCATTGGAAATTGTATTCTTATAATATATAGTGAAACAAATATTTATGTAATCATTATTTTAATGTTAAATAATGTAATTATAAGATGTAAATAGGATTACAAGTGAGTTCGAGGATTAATTCAGATATATTAATATACTGTTTATATAAATATATATATATATTTAAATTAAATATAAGTTATGTTACAATCGATTGTAAATAATGGAGTTTTATTTTATCGTAAGTTATAACAGAAAAGACAAGAGTCGACAAAATCAGATCGTATTTAAAAATGAGTTGTTTTTTATACATTTTATCAGTTGTATTGCGGAAATGCATGAAATAATTGTTCCCAAAAACTCATTTCGTTTTAAATATTGTTTCGATTAAAATCAAGTTTAGGGAGAGTTTTGGGCGAAAGTATGGCAAACAAAAAATGGGTTTAATTACTATTTTGAAATTTAATGTTATCTTTTTTATTATATATTTTATGTTAATTTTTGAACAATTCTTTATTTCCTGACAATTCTTACCACTTATTTGTAGATCAGTTATTAGTCTATAGAAAGACATTGAAAATCACGAAAATATTCCCAATTATTATAACGATTTAAATTCAATATAATTTTTAATGCCATTACATTTGACAGCTTTTTAAATGTCTATATTCTTCAAAATTGTTTATTAAATTTGAATTTTCATTTAATTATATAACATATTTCTAATGTAAAAATAAACTCTCAGAAAACGATTGCAGACCTTTTTGTCCAAACAAATCAATCTATGCTTTAAATTGTTATATAATATGTACTTAAAAACTGATAAATACCATAAGAAACAGTGTATACTTTTATTACTGCTATAAAAATATAATTTATTAAAAAATAATGAATAAAATCTGTATTATTATTATTACAAAATGAATATTGGTTTCAATTGATTAAAAATATATTTATAACGATTAATATTTCCAATAAACTCTTTTTGTCATCACATATAAAACACATCCAAAGAAAAACATGAGCGCTATTATGATCAGCACTTTGTCCGTCACTTCTCTGCGCCCGTATTTGGTCAACAGTTTCCTCGAGTGGACAATCAGATTAGCCATTGATTTGAATTCTTCGCCCGTTTCGGTGACAGTCGCTGAAGAGCTGACCAGAGTTTGCAAAGTGTGCTCACTTTGGGTCACCTGTGAGGCCAACAGACGGCTCACAGTCTTCAGGTTGTCTGTAATGGCAGTGGATTTTGTGGCCAACACTTGACTGTTAACAGTGGATGTATTCCTCTGTCGCAGCGATGACTGCGTTGAGCCACCAGTTGTCGAGTCTAAGCCCAACAGTTGTTCCCTTGTCTTCGTTGAGATGGACTTTTGACTCGAAGCGATTGCTTTCCTCAGAGCCATAGAGTTGGCCTCCAATTGGTTTCGGAAGCCATCGATCTCTGAATCCAATGACTTCTTCACCGAAACGTTTGGCAACTCTTTCGTCGCTTTAAGCAAATCCTGAAAGCAATCAATTCATTGCAATCAATACAATCACTTCAATCATCAATACATACATCGATCGACTTCTTGTGGGAGCGGATCCGTTGAGACACACATGAGATGAGATAATTAAGGTCTTCATTGGTTGTATTGCAGTCCAATATATCCTTACAAATGATAACTAAATTCATTAATCAATTCATTTCACATTTGATACCAAAAGACTTACTTTAATGAGTGTTTTGAGCTCTAAATCACTTCTTATGATATTATCCTTCAAATCGTTTACAAATACTTGATTTGAATCCATATTTAAGACACGAAACAATCAATTGATCCAAAAATATCAGCAAATAATCATTGAATGGACACAACATTGAAAGCACTTCACAGTAAATGAACGCCACTTTAAATGGCATTTAAAACACATCAACAATACATGCAATCCATTCAATGCATACAACTATAGCCCGTTAACACCCCTACGCGCCATAACTGTAGTTTTAAAGTGACTTATTTTTATTTTAAGTGACTAAAGTTGACTCCAAATATGTAACCCATATATCCCGGAGATAAGCTACAGATTGTATAACCGTATTATGACCATGGCACTTTTACGATTACGCTTATTATAAGTTAGTTAAATTATGTATTATATTTTATTATGATCATCATTTTTAATTAAATAATAATTACCTAGCTCATTGATAAACTAAACAAAAATTAAAGCATTAATAAAGCCGTGGCTTATCGATGGGAAATGTTGAAACCCATAGTGTGCATAGAGTAGAGGTGTTAGCGGTATATTAGTGGACATTTGGCGCGTTTTGTTTCACAAGTCGTCACACATTGTGTTGGCTTTGAAAGTGAAGACACGCTTTGCATAGCATTTGTCGCAACGATTCAAATGTAAGTCCATTTTATTGATTGATTTGTTTTAATTGAATTACAATTAGTTTTAATTATTACTAATTAAACAAAGCATTGATTTGTCGGACATATGTTTCGGTCGTAAATGTAATTATGATTTGAATTATGCGTTCATTTCAGTGACAATTGATTAGCGGTTTTGTTGGACGCCATTCCAGACAATGCTTTTTCTGCACTCTTTTTAAACCACTTTTTAATTGATTTTTTAAATTAATTATTCGTTTAATTGTTTTTCAAAATTGCATTTTATATACAATCCGTTAATGTGTTTATAAATTAGCGTTTGTTTTAGTGTTTTGATTGAGTTTTAGTCGAGTTTTATGAGCGCTTTTATTGAGTGATTTTAGTTTAGCGTACATTTGATTGCATTGTATTTACAACTAATTTAATTAAATCCCAAACAATGGGCGAACAGTTGTTGTCGTCGTGTGAGTCGTGGGACGGGAAGGACTATATGGCCGATGCATTCAATAGCGTCTCGTTTAACAGTTACAGTAGCGGACAGTTAGGCGCTAACCTTCCCGTCCATCTCCTGCCCCCCTTTGGGTCCGTTTTTCTCTCACATATCACTCCTAATTGTATTGCCATTGAAATTGTCTCCCAATTGCTCTCATTATAACAGTCTATCTCTAATGAAAAGCAATACATTGTTTACACTGTCTGTCTCTATGTATCACTAAATTGAGTGCTCTTTACATATAAATAGCAGCCAATTGTCGGGACATAATAAGAGCCGTCAAACCCTTAAGCTATCGATCGATGGCTTTCCTTCAGATATAACTGAAGTGAGTATTGCTTTCTCACAGCTCTTCAAGTTTACTGTAAAACATGAGTTCACATGAATTGTTGAATAGATGTGAGATTTTTTGAACCAATCCTCTAATGAGTGCGTGAAATATGATCTCAAATGTGAGGCCTTTTAATCCGCTTTTCATTGGTTTCGAGTCATTGCTTATTAAACTCTGAACTCCTATTTAAAGCTGTGGTTTGAGTTGCAGTCCATGCTTTCAATGCTCTGCTCTCTCACTCTCTTTGTTTCAAGTATTACTGATTTGGTCTCACTTTTGAATAACTGATTCAAAAAATTACATTATAGAGTGGTTTAAAGGGTTATCTCCAACGCATTGGTTGTAAGCCATCGACAGTGAAAAGAGTTAAGAGTCAATCGACGGGACAGTGTTTTAGGTATACTATCACTCAATTGAATGTTAGCACCGATTGTATGTTTGACTCATTGCTTATTTTATTATAAGTTTTGCCGATTTTGTGACCACAAGAGACGCTTTGGACGCGATTCAAGCGATCAGAAGTCAAAAGTTATTTCGTTTAAGTGTTTGCTTTGCGTCGACGGAATCAGATCTTCAGGAAAAGCACCACTTGCTTGATGTGAGTATAGGTCTTGTTTATGGTGTCCTATAAATGGACTTAATTTGTATTTAATTTCTATGCCTTTAGAAAGAGAGGCAACACTTATTGAAAAAGCATTTGGAAATGAAGCCAAAGCTAGACATTGGAGACAATGTGGCGATTAATGCCAACAATTGTCATACAAATGGCAAGAGCTTTGATTCGGATAACGAGAGTCACGGGTCGAACGGTTTGGACATTCTGTCTCCGTTGGCCAGTAGTGACAAACTTCTGAAAGTTTTGAACAAAAGCACAGACGACTGTTCCTTTTGCTCCGGAGGGGGCGATAATGTAGATCACCTGCACTTCATTCTGGATGATCAACAGGTGATCGATCCAAAACAGTTGCCGCCACTCATTGCTCTCGACATGAAATGTCAGAAATGTGGCCAAAAGTCAGTTGACATGAAGCTGTGCTCTCAATGCAAAAGCACTCGTTATTGTAATACGAAATGTCAGTCAAGCGATTGGCTTCAGCACAAAATGGTGTGCAAAACAGGTGGCACTTCAGTCATTAGTTTGAACGCATCGAAGCGTTTGATTACATCGGCTCAAGTGGTGTCCCCTCCGCGAGAGAGGACCCGAACACCGCCTCCGATTAGTCAGAGCAAAGTAACGGATTCTCCGGTGATTGTCGATCGCTCGCCAAAAGTCACTTTCAATAAGACATCAGTCAATGACGTGACCGATAGTGTGGCCAAAAAGTTGGTCTTCGATGACGAGCCGTTGGAAATTGAAATGAAGTCCTTTTTGGACTACAAACACGACGGCTCTGATATCGATCTCGTAATCAATGAGAATCTCAGCGCCGATGACTTCCGCTATTTGGCCACAATCTTCGACCCGAGCATTGGTCGCATTATTAAGTCATTGTCTGATGACTACAAGAATGAGTCGGCAATTGTGCCCAAAGTTGGCGATTTAGTTGTTGGCCGAAACACTGAAGGCCGCTATTTTCGCGCTCACGTTCTCTCAGTGGACGCAAAGTCGGCCAAAATGTTTCTAATCGACGACTCGAATGTGTTGGACGTAAGCTTTGGATCCATTTATGAAATGCTGCCGAAGTACTTGAAGGCGCCCTCATTTGGTGTTGTTCTGGTGCCCGACACGAGAGCCGCCGGTCTTTCCCTCGAAGCCCTCTCTCAGACGGAGGATTCCATTCTGAAGGGATCTTTCACTAAAACAGGCGACAAATTCTTCGCTAAAAGCAATGGAAATTCATACGAAATTTTGGGCTTCAAATCGATCGTTGAATTAGTCAAACAATGCGTTAACACTATTGGGTTGAAGCCGAAGAACACGAACACATCAGTCGATTACTTCAGTCAACTGTCGACTCGTAATATTAAGATCAACCGAATGCTCGATTCCATGGCATTATATAAAGTGGAAACCGATCCTAAAGTTTTCTTCATTGCAGATGAAGGTAATAGTTGTGCCTTTTATTTGATTGAATTATCATGAATTTGTTTATTTATAGGATCAGACTTCGAGCAAATGATGACCTCTTGCGCTGAACTCGGGGCCACATTCGACGATAAGATCAAAGTGAAGCCATCGGCGGGCGGTGTCTATTTGGCTCGTTCTGTGACCGGTATATTGATTGGTGTTATAGTTATAATTATGACTTATAATTAATTGCATTGATTATAGACGGCGAGTGGTATCGAGCGGTTGTTCTCGAACTGAAGGGAGACGAGTGTTGCGTTCAATACATAGACTTTGGCAACAATGAGGAAATCAGTGTGAATTCATTGATGAAATTGTCGGACAAAATGACAACCGCTTCTGTGGCTCCGATTGCCATCAAATGCAAAGTCGATGAAACAAAATTGAGTGATGAGAACCTCCACAAGAAGATAGATCAGGCAATTGAGGGTCAGTTCCTGCTTAAGATTAAGATTCTCAACATTGAGAACTCTGTCCATTCAGTTGAGGTCTACTAAAACCCCTTTAACGCAGATTTCTATCATTTCATTACATATCAAAGATTTTTAAGATTATTTTAAAAATTATCTGTATTTTTATAATTCTTTCTCTCAATTATGTTAAGAATATTATGATATTTCAATTATTACAGCAATAGTCGATTCAGTTGAGTCCAGTCGAGTGTCGATTCAGTCGAGTGTCGATTGATTCAACATTTCATTTATTATTAATTGTTTCTGTTTTTGACTTTTTTGTGATTTACTAAAATTTGTGTTTAATTTTTTATTATTGAATTTAAAATTCATTTATTAAGATTATAATGAATGACACATTGTTTTTGTATTCGATTATTGTGTTATAAATAAAACTTAAATTTGGTTTTAATTTGTAAAAAATGTAATGTTATTTCCGATTTAATATTAGATTACATTCTAGTGTTTAAAACTATTCAATGAATGCTTGCGTTAAAACACCGATTGAGAGGTCATTCAATACGTAACCAACTATTTCCAGGCATTGGACACAAACAAAGTGACGCAAAACGTGGTATTATTGTACCCCTTGTGCTGTAAACAGTGTACAGTGATTAGCACAACCCCACCCATCAATAGTGTCACGTTATGTGTGAATATAAAGGCAAATATTTGGGTGTTTTTGATGGAGTCATAGACTGGTAGACAGTATTTCCACAGCAAATCAGTGATTGAGTGTAACATTGGATGCAATGAAACGTTTGGTATCTATCGGAGGCAGTACTCGCTATCAAGTGTATATGACATGCATAAATATGTATTCGACATAATACCTTGGGAAATGTTACGTGTATTGTTTCGTATATCCAAAACCAGGGAAAATACTCATGCTATAACCCGCTTGTATTTATCATTTGCATGTAATAAAAGGAACCAAAACCAAATGCTTTGTTATGTGCATTGTAAAACACAGCTTATGTATAAATACGTACAGTATATCGTGAACTATCGCTCATAACGGAGGCTATCTATGGTTTGAATGAAACACAACATANCATTTGCATGTAATAAAAGGAACCAAAACCAAATGCTTTGTTATGTGCATTGTAAAACACAGCTTATGTATAAATACGTACAGTATATCGTGAACTATCGCTCATAACGGAGGCTATCTATGGTTTGAATGAAACACAACATATAATGAATACATATTTATATGATTTGTGACAACAATTAGTGACCGAAACATGACTTTAAGGAAAGTTAAGGGAAATTTTGACCGCATTTTCGACAAAAATCTGTCGGATTT